GGTCCAGGATGATTTAAGATTAAATTTGTCATTCTAGCATTTCCTCTGGCTCTAACTCAGACCTTTCCTCCTCAGCGTCGCGTTACATCGAGACGGATCCGGCCAACCGGGACCGCAGGACGCCCATCGTCAGAATCAAGCAGGGCTTCGAGCCGCCCACGTTCACCGGCTGGTTCCTGGGCTGGGACCACGACTACTGGACCACCGACCCGCTGGAGCGAGCCATGGCCGCGCTTTCGGTGTGAAACCCAGCGAACCCCTCCTTAGCTGCCTTCACCTTCGACCCCTGCCCCTCCGCTACAAGCACTGAGCTCCACCTGTTAAGACTTTCCTCGCTGCCAGCACACCCTTAGATAAAGTTTTTTATTTGTCTCATGTTCTACAGCGGTGCCTTCACACCTGTAATGAAACCAACAGCCGGTAGAAACAGGGCTTTAACGGATAAACAGACTCTCTGCAGGGTTTTGCACTAAATATAGTCTGATTCTTATTTTGTATTTTGACAATAAAACTAGTGACACAAACAGTTTAAAGTTTAGTGAGCCGCAATATTAGAAAACTCACTGCCACCAAAACACAGCTTATAAAAAGCAATACAACCGACGCCTTAATATCAGTTCCTCTAGTTTACAGTAAGCCTGCGTTGTTTTGTTTTGTTTTTTTTAAATAAAAAGGTACTGCTCCGGTTCCAGGATGTCTTTATAGATATATTGTTTGTACCTTTCTTTTTAAATGTCACTTGTATTTATTTTGTAAGAAAAGCCACAGATTCGTACCCAGGAAGCTTGTGTTCTGCTGCAACTTTTAGAACGGGAAACCGATGCTTAGCTGCTTTTAAAAACCATCTTCTGTGACACTCTCTGAGGTTTCCCTCAAACCTTGTTACCATTTCAATTAAACCAATAAAACATGTGAACCGTTTTCTGTCTCTGCTTCGAGTTACTTCACACCCCGACCTGAGAGAAATGAAACGCAAAGACGAGCCTGCTTCGTGGATAACATCTTTATTTGAAGTTTTATATATATATACTTGTATCATATCAAGATAAAATCATATCAAGTCATTAGTAAAATGTACAAAACAATATTGTTAGCTGCAAAAATAAATCCCACAAGCTTCTATCCCAAATAAAAAATCTCTCCTAACCCCGACTCTTCCCGGGTTTGGGACAAAAACAACCACAAACACTCGGCGAAGTCCTTTAAACCGACGGGTTTGAACAAACTCAGCGAGGATTCTGCAGCAACGTGACGCGCTCTACTCGGCAGCAACAGCAAAAAATACAGGACTTACTGAAGTATAATGTAACAGCCGTAACGTTTCATAACAAGAAGGTGCATCACACCCGGTTCAGGTAAATGTGACAGACCCGAACCGTCCATCCCGCCACCGCAAAACGAAAGTTCACACTACGAGATATATAAAAAACACTGCGTGGTCAGACGAAGGCTAAACGCTGCGATAAACATGGACTTTAAATGTAACAAGGAGGCGAAAACTACACGACTAGAGCGGCTTCAAGACAGACGAGTACAAAGATTTGGCTTGTGTTACACCCACAGAGAGCGTACGGACGTAGTAAAACACAGCAGCTCGTTCAGAATGCATAGAATGAGACTGTGAAATGAACACATGGTAGAAAGTTAAGGCTTTTGGTTGAAAGAGTTGCAGTTTCTGCTTCTCCTGAGCAGGAATGAAGTCAGAGAGGGGGCGGACAAAATAAAAGGAACGACTCAAGGCCAGTAAACCGGCTGAAAATGTCGACTTTTCTTCATGTTGGAGTTCACTCAGTGTGTTTCTTATATTTTGTCCACCTTGTTGTTAACAGAAAACATGTAGTTAATGACAGTCTACTATTGGAAACAGCTTGTAATCTAAGTAATTACAACTGGAGAAAAGCTAGTGTGTGATAAGGAGGAACATTTACGTCTGATATTTGCATATCTCTTACTTCCTGACACTGCTGCCTACCCCTCTTGCTGGTTAGTACACGATAAACCAAATTTAATCATCACATTAAACATCAACGCACCACATTTAGTGTATTTACAACATTCAGTGTTGTAAAAAGTCAAAACGAACAACTTTGCACCAGCATGTCGGTTCACAATTCTTTCATTGTCCCTATAAATCAGACTAATTGCGTGCAGTACGACTCATACCGCACAAGTTTCAACTTTCAAGGCTTCAATGTTCAGATTAGTGCAGAGATTTGAATGACTTACACGCTAAAAAAAAAGTGAAATTGGCACATTTAAAAACACAATCAGGCATTTTAGGGTTTGGTAATCAAGTCTTTACAGTCAGAATATTGATATCATGAAAAAAAAACACTTTAAGATACAAAATAGGCGCAGCACAAAGATGCTGGCAGTGGTTGCAGTAGTGCTACGGTGTCAGGAGAGTGTAGAGATATACATGTAAGGATAGAGGTGTGTGTGTGTGTGTGTGTGTGTGTGTGTGTTCATAGGCCACATATCCAGCAGGCACTTTGCTTTAAAATGTTTGTGGAACAGATGAGAGGTTTTGAGGTTTTGTGGTACTTTGACAGTCACGGAGCCTTTTTGTAGCTTAAACACAGATAAAAAATAAAACGTCAAGCTAACAGCTAAACCACCAGAGGCCGCTAATACGAAGCAAGTGTAATATATCCAGGGTATATTATCGTCAATAGCTTCAGTAAACCCAACAACCACAGTCAGGACGAGCAGTTTAGTGAAGGTGGTTATCAACTCAGTGAACACAGAGTTTCTCAGCCTGCTGTGAGCGGGTTAACGCGAAAGAATTTAGCAACAGTCGACCAATCACAATCATAGCCAGGTCTGCTAGCATCAGTGAGTAACTTTTCAAACAAAACGTCAACTATAATATTTGAGAAATGCAAAGATTTTAACCACAATACAGACTAAAAACAACACAGTGTGAGCAAAAGCTGGCAAACAACTTCAGACTGTGTTGAAATCAGCGACATTACTATGAAATTGTAAGGAAGGCGTCAGGATCGGCAGTCACAGCATTGTTTTAGGCTTCGCCAATCAAAGCCAGATCCGTTGCATCCACTGATATGCAGGTATCAGAAAGGGAAAGCACAAATTCACAAAAAAGTGCAAAAAAAAAGAAAAAAGAGAGAGACACAGGTTTCTGTCATGGTGCCCATTGCTAACAAAACTCCCACAATGCTCTCTGCTTGCTAACAAAGAACTACCTGTAGTCAGAGTGACCACTACCTCTGGTAAATAAAGTAGTAAACAGGTTTTTTGATACTTGTAGAGCCACAACACACTGGACCCTCCCCACACTATGCTTTACACAGACTCCTACTGAGGGTCCTGACCACCTACGTAACATTAAGTAACAGCTTTAAAGCCAAAATGCATTTCTTTTTAAGAGCTATTCAGTCGTCAAGCACATATTTTGGATTGGTTTTAATGTAACTTTAATGTAGTTGAAGTGTGTATTAGCTAGAAATATTGATCTAGACACCCTAAACTCAGTCAGTGGTCAGTGACTGGAGACACACCACGCTGACTGCTGCTTGTTTTTCTGGTTGCCTGCCATCGTTGGTTCTAGCTGAGCCACCTCAGCGGTCGTTCAGCTGACGAAGCACACCGAGTCCACACTGGGATGAGGAGCGCTTAGATCAGATTCTAACAAAGCAAACGTTTTAACTGATGCTCAGCTAAAAGAATAATAAGCACACAGCTTAAATTAAAAGAATGTTTGCAGTAAAACGGCCGTTTTAAAAGAAGTAACCCAGGAACTAGAAAATGGTCAGTTTGTTTGAAAACATGTTCATGTGAGCTAGCAGCTTGTTGTGTTCAAATGTAACAATGTTATGGTGATGACATAAACAAAACAAACAAAAACAGCTGTAGTTGATTTCTAGTCATTCTTAAAGGACAGTTTGGTGCATCATGGGCGAAATGCACCAACTTCCTGTGCGTCAGTTTAGCGCTGCTGGTTAAAATCTAACACTGGGCCTAAAATACTTGTGTATGTGTTCAATGGTGTGAGTGTGAGCGAAGTGTTTTGAGATTTAGTGTTTGATGAACCCCTGCATCATCTCCAGCGGCAGTGGGAAGATGATGGTGGAGTTCTTCTCCGCCGCGATGGTGTTGAGGGTCTGGAGGTAACGCAGCTGCAGGGCCGAGGGGGACTCGGCGATCACCAGGGAGGCCTCCTTCAGCGCCCGCGATGCTTTCATCTCACCCTCTGCTGCTATCACCTGGAGACGGAAACAGGAGGAAGGAGTGGTGAATGAATGAATGAATGAATGATCTCACAGCTCAGTGGAAGAAGCATCTGTAGAGTTACAATTTTGGAGAACTTTCCAGAACTTTTACAATCGATTTTTAATCTTTGATGACATCTTTTTCCACGCTAAAGACACTCTAAGATCTAATATGGTTTCGTAGGATGAGACTAATATGTTAGCTTACAAATTACATAACCCCCGTAATGCAGATTTTTCTGACCTGTGGGCATCTGATCAAAGTTATTGCTAATGTTAGCCACATTAGCTGCACAACTAGTTAACACACAGGATTTCCTCTTGTTGTGGAAATCAAAAATAAAAGTCATCCACTGTCTCTTCAGTTCCTCAGATGCTGGGAGTGCATAAAGACATGAAGACTGTTGTGTTCATTCTTGCAGCCGACAGCTGAGAATTTGGCAAGTTTTACTGCTTTTACTTTACACCTCTGAGTTTATCATTTACATTAGAAACATATTTTTTCAAATACAGGAACTTTAGGTAGCATAATTTATTTACTGCTCCGATGAGAGGAAACCCGCACTCTTGGATTCCTCGAAGCTTTTCCTGTTTATTTCTGGTTTTAGTCATCGCTAACAGTCCTGACGTTAAACCCTGTATGAGCTCTGTATTTAAACTCAGTAACGGGGAAGCAGAACCAGCTCACCTTGGCTCTGGCCTCGCGGCTGGCTTCAGCCTCGGCCGCCATGGCTCTCTGGAGCTGAAGGGGCAGCTTCACATCTTTGATCTCCACCCGCTCCACCTTGATTCCCCAGTCATCTGTGGCATCATCTAGACTGGACTGAAGGGAGAGAAAATTCAAAGATTGAGCAAAAATTTACATTACTTTAGATTTGACAGAAACAAACACAGCAATGTAAAAAAGCAGACTTGTATTTTTTAGGTTAGATTTTCATTCCAATTGATTTTATGTTAATATAAGAATGAATGAAAAGAAAACTCCAATGAATTAATTTCTCAAAAACCAAGACCAACCCAAAGCTCCCCGTTTTTGAAGAAAACACAACCTTGCAGTTTTCAATCTGTCCAGCAGATGGAGCCAAACCAGGCTGCATTTCTCTCATATATTAAAAAGATTAAACGTAAAAGACAGACGGCGTAAAAGTAAGAAATGTACATCAGAAAGAGATAACTGCAGGTTAATGTAAAGCATAACACATGATACTAAAATATGTACAGTCAATGTGGGATCAGAAAACAAGTGGTTTTTATTTCACTTTTATATTAATGAAAGCCGGCAGGTTCTGTCTGCAATGTTTAGTCCTAATAAAGTCTAATCTTTAAAAGGCAAAAACACGAAAATAATTACCAAAAAAGCATTAAAATGAAGGCCTGGTCTTCATCGAAAGCTTCAAAACAAATTTATTATGTCAAGACCAATGCTAACTTGATTGTCAGTGGGCTGTCAAGTTTTATATACACGAATAAACGACATCCTGTTCACGACAAACTGCCTGAACAGGGACACACAATAGTGGATTCTTGTCAGTGTCTGATATGCTGCATTTTATCTACTCATTCTGGTCAATATATGCACTTATTCATGCACATAATTGCACAGAACAGTAAATCTTTAATGTGGTGGAATGAAATATTACTGTGATGAGTCACTTGCAGACATTAAATGTAAAGTTCTTCAACATTCAGGAGGCAAAACAGCAAAAATACTTCAACTTTACACATAAAACTAGGAAACAACCTGGACAAGTTTGACCTACTTCACAAGCTGCAACACAACTAAATAAACATAATCTCTGCCCACACTTGCACCACGGACACAGTGTTGGCGATTAGTCAGCGCCGTCTCTTTGGTGAATATTTATTTTGGGCGAGTGTTGATATTTCATTTTAAAAGCTTCATACAGACGACACGCTTATATCGTCATGCATCCCCAGAAGTAAATATTTAATCGTTTACAGCTCAGCATAAACTGTAAGTAAAAGTTTAATGAATAAATAAATAATTGAACTCAAGCCGAGAGCTGCGCTCTACACGGAAACACAGGATTAGCTAAAGTTTTTTTTTTTAAATTCACAGCCAATACGCATTTAAGTGCAGTTTGTTAGTTTAACACTGACACACAGTTCAGATGACAGATGCATTACGCAGCTGGCAAATATGGCTTTAAGCAAGATGGCACGGTAATTCCTCATTGAGTTTTCCATGCGAGTCAGGCTGTCAGTGGAGTCTCGTATGTGATGGCTGAGCACTAAAAGATGACAAAGGGCTGCAGAGAGATGAGAGAATACTTGCACCATATACCAAAGGAATAAGCAACATAAAGGAAGGCTAAAATGAAAAAATAATTACTGTATTTAACAGTGAGATCATGGTTATTTATTATATTTTTTCACTGATTTTATGGACAAAATGTATGGCTCTTTCACTTATCAACAGACTGACAAACTGATTTCTCTTCCATGTTGGAAAACACTTTCTTGAACTAGTCCCGATTTACAGTCAATTTCCTAGAAGGAGAAACTACGAATACAAATGTACCAGAACTATTATAGATCATGAGTTAACACCAGATAAGCGCAGAGACTCATTGAGGAAACACTTGCGTTGTTATTCTTCTTGCATTCTGGCCTTGATGCATTCACTGCTCTGTAGTTTGTGGAGGTTTTTTTTTTTTTAGGAGGTTGAACAAGCCGTGCACTCTTTGCATATGATTTGCTTTTGCTTGACATCACTTGGCCCGTTTCCAGGAAGCAGCTTTGCTCCTTCGACTCCAGACATTTGATTTTTCTTTTGTCTATCTGCTCTCTGCTGTATATTACTATTCTAACTATTCTATTCTTTAACATCCAGAAAATGTCTGCACAGGCTGCTGCAGCTGTGGTTTCCCTAAACGTGACGCTAAAATATCCCGATCGCCCCCCGGTGGCCTGCTGTTAGATTAGGAAGGATGGTGGTGTGTAGTGGAGTTTTCTACATCAACAATCCATCATGTTCAGGAAGGACAAATCATGTTTGAGATGAATATCTGATTAATTGTGTAGCCCTACATAAAGACCGGATGTGGAAACAGGGGTGACACAGCTACAATTCAAAATACCAAACTACCACTGACACATATTGTGCATTTTACTAGTATTAGCATGTTTTTTTAAAATCCTGATGCCAGTAACAATGCAGTTAAAGGACTCTACCTGCATGCTGTGTGCGATTTCTTCACGGTCAGACAGGATCTCTGCCAGGTTCTTGGTACCCAGGACGTTCCTCAGGGTGGTCCCGGCCAGCAGGCGGGTAGCAGCGTCTGCATTGGTGATGTTAGCCACAGCCAGAGTAGCATTCTGGACCCGGTAGTACACCACGCCGTCAACGCTCACTGTCACGGAGTCTTTGGTCAGAACCTGGAAGCAGACAGATTACATTTGTACCGTTTTACTTGATAAAAACAGTGTTACAATGGGGCTAAATATATAATCTGCACGATTGCTTTAATGTCATTTAATTTTCTGTTTAACTGCTAAAGAATCTGTTTAATGTAACTGGAAGTGTGCGTGTCTTACCTCCTGCGGCGGGATGTCGAAGGTAATGGTGCGCATGTCCACATTAATAAAGCTGTCAGTGCACGGCAAGATGAAGAACAACCCTGTGGAATCACAAGAATGCAAATAGTTTCAACAAAGACTAAAGCCACGGTAAACACAATAATGAGGAGGCTTCTTCACAAATGTTTGAAAACACCAGGATGAATGAAATTCTGGCAGCAGGCCAAGTCAAACTCTCTTTATAAGACTGCAGCTGTGCTGACAGCGAGGCAAAGCTGTGGATATTTGCAGCTTTCATTAGCCCGTTTCAAGTCGCTATGATTGAATTAGAGCATCAAACAATACGAGGCATGTGCCTGAGTGAAACAGACATGTGCTAGGTGTGCAATCATTTAGCAAACATTAAGGCCACACCAGATAGAGAGTAGTTGGCTGCATTTCCTGTCAGGATATTGTGCATTTAAACGGTGAGATCACAACCATCTGTTCAGCAGGGGAAATAAAGATAACAGCAGTCTTCCCATACCATTTCCACCCTGACGTTTCCAGCACAATTTCTTCATGCTTGTCAGACAAGTAAAACGGCCTCAGTTGCTATCAAACAGTCTGAAAACTGTCTTGTGACGCAAAGGAAAATTCCACCGATTAGCATGTTCATCAATAAGCATGTCTGTTCACAGGAAACTGTACACAGGAACAAAACAAGCCTTTCATTTTATATTTAACTACAGTAAAAATGATTCATTTTCCCCTTTACAAGTTTTGCCCTTTTGTGGCTTTAAAGTGTTGAATCATGGTCAAAAGACTCATTCTTGTCAAACTGAAAATGAATTTCCAAAATGTAATGCAATTTAATTAAACATATAACATGTAAAATAAGTTGTTCCATCAGTATTCACCCATTTTAGAGTGATTCACCTAATTCAATAGTCCTGCAGTCGATTTGTGCTAGAAAGTCACATAATTAGTGTGACTGAGATCAATTGAGTGCAGTGGATGTGTCTAAAGTGATTGTCGTATAAGGACGTCTGTATCAAGATGCTCCAGTCACTGGTGGATCAGTTCTCCTGGATGGAACTACACCATGAAGCGAAAAAACACCAATCATTTTCATTAAAAGGTTACTGAGAAGCATAAGTCGGGGGATGAATACAAGAACATTTCCATGTCATTAAATATCCCTTGGAGTGCTGCTAAATCTGTCATCAAGAAATAGAAGGACATGTGTAACTCTGCGGTCTTTAAAAACGGAGTGATCGAGCAGGAGAGGCCACCGATACACCTACGACTCCTCTGGAGGAGTTACAAACTTCAGCAGCGAGAGAGTGGCAAAAAGAAAGCCACTGTTGTAGCTCATATTTAATCTCAACTTGGGTTTCTAGAAAGCATGTGGGAGTCTGTGGAAGAAGGTTCTTGGGCAATGATGAGACCATAAATGAGCTTTTTGGCCATCAGACTTAATGTAGACAAAAATAATGCACACCATCACCAACACACCATCTCCACTACGAGGCACAGTGGTGGCAGCATCATTGTTTGGGAATTTTTCTCAGCAGCAGGTCCTGAAGAAGATTTGTTTTCGAGCAAGACATTGAGCTAAAGCATACAGCACAAAGCCATAAAGAAATGGTTTTAAGACAACAAGGTGAATGTTTGAGAGGCCAAGTCGAGTCCAGACCTCAATACAAGAGAAAATGTGTGACTTGACTTAAAAAGGGCTGTTCATGTATAATCTCTATGCAACCTGACAGAGCTGAAACAATATTATACAGTAGAATGGGATAAAAATGTGCAAATTCTTGTCAAAAAGTCAAATTATATGAACCATGATTCAATGCTACACAATAATAAAAGAGAAGAAAACTTGTGTGAACACTATTTATAGGCACTGTATATTGGTCGTACAACCCGATGACCACAGGGTGCATATCACATGAGCACAAGGGCCCTTTAAAAGTAATAAAAGTAATTTTAAAAATCCATAATTGTGAACCTGCTTCAAACTAATAAAGAGACACTTAAAGCCTCTATTGTCCACCAGCTGTTATAAATGGAGAGAGGGCCAGGCTATAAGGGTACAGAGCACAATGTGAAACCAAATGTGAATTTAACTTTGGCATTGGCTCCTCCAGCTCCTCAAGAATGTGAGGTTTGCAAGCAGAGAGCTATTATTAACCCCCTGCTGTCATAAATAAGGTCCCCCGGCTCTCTGTGGAGTCACATTTCAGGATTTTTTAGAGGACAGTGCCAGCTTTTCAGATCTGGTAAAACAAGAAATCAAAGATAAAGAGACAGTGACTTACGAGATGTATGCAAATTATACCTCACGGGAGTCTGTATTTTTTTTTACCTCTCTTTTACTAATAAATACACTGCCTTTCAAAACAAGAGTCACGTCCCTGAGAAAAGGATGAATTAGGCATTCAGACGTCGAACAGACACGTGTGCAGTAGCATTGCCAGACATATAGCACAGAATCTCAGCAGCTACGTCTGTGTGCATGTATCTGTCACTTGGTTGACCTTTGCACTAGTATATCTTGTTTTCATTGAATTCAGCCAACAAAATATTTCATTTTTAATCTGTAGTATCGATTTCCTTTTAGTCATTCTGTCCCAAGGCAGGAAGAGGATGGGTGGAAAAGTACACGACTCCCCACACCCACCCTTTTGTGATTCCTCCCAAGGTTTCTCACACTAGGCTCCATGCTAGGGGCTCGGCTTTCCTGACAATAATGCTGGACTGTTGGTCAGAGAGTTTAAAGTAGTAAATGTTAGCATTTGAGACAGCATATTGGACAAGTCTTGTGTTTACATTATGTAACATTTTAGAGGTTTGGTGCAAACACAGACTAATATACAGGGCGTCTCTGGGGATAAACAAGTACAAAATGTCATTGTCTTTGTGCTTGTACTCTGTGCAATGACAATAAAGTTGAATCCAATCTAAAATGTAAGATTTTGCAGGCTGTGTTAATACCACTTTAGATGGAATTTAAGACCAAACTTGCTATGGAAATGCACGCCAAAAGTAAAAATATGCTTCAAGTTAAATATTGCTCAGAGCCACAAATTGCAGCGGTATGATGATGATGTTGGCTACTGGTGGAATAAGTGGAGCATAAATGAAAAACTGGAACCTGCATGTGCGATGTGATGATCTCCAAAGCCCTAAGTCTGAAAGGCCTTCGTTATACAAGGCAGTTTGCTTCATTAGCATTTCCAGGCAGCGATAAAATTCTGCCAAGTCCAGTCATTTCCAAAAATAACAACACCTGAGTTAAACCATGCAGACCCAATGCATGTGCTAAATGCAATGGGGCATTTAAGGCCAAGCTCACAGTGCAGAAAGAGGCAGTTCTTCACAGACATTCTTCTCGCTAATCTCAGTCATGCACGCACTAAAAGATTTGAAAATAATGGCGTTTCATACAGTGCAGGATGACATTAAGATTACTGTGCCAGAGGGAGCAGTCAGGAAGCAGCGCACCACCTCATATGACTACATCGGGAAGCAAAATGGAGTCTGTGACGCAACAAACACTAATAACACTTTGCAGAGAGACGAAAAGCTTAACCACAAGTCCAAACAAGTCTGAATGGAAAAATGGTTTGGGGGGATATGATCAACATGGGCTGCTTATTCTCCAGTGAGAGTTGGAGGTGACATTTTAAATATCAGTTTTAATATCTGTCGATAACGTTGGCCTCAAGGGCAAGGATGTTAAAGCAACAGTGCTGCGTTAATCGTAACGAGTCCTGATAAGCAGCCCTGTTGAGTCGGAGGAGTGGATTAAGACTAACAAATTACAATCTGAATGTCAGACAATTCAAAACTTTCCCACAGGCTTTCATCAGTAAATGTGCATTTAAGACTTTTGAGGACCTGCCGCTATCCTGACATCATTTTTTTCAAGTTACACTAAGAATATTAGCAAGTATATGAATTATTGCCATCGATATCAACCTTATAAATTCACTATCCATCGAGTTAAAGTTTTCTTCACGAGGAATGAGCCTTCAGAAATCTAACTGTATTGGCTTCCCTCTCTCCAAAGTACAGTATTTGGACAGTTTGCTCGTGTTTGGTTTTGTTCTCCAGCACAACAGATCTGAAAATAAACAATAATTATGAGGTTAAAATTTCCGCTTCAAGCTTTCAGAGTGTTTAGCTGAGTGTGTATTCAGACTGAGCGGAAAGTTTTGGACTTTCCTCATCTGTGACCTCAAGTCAGCCCAATTGGTTGTGTGCTTCGGTGCTGGAAATCAGGCTGAAGGCAAAACATCTGTGGAACATTAATTTCCCTCTACACGTTAAGTACGATCGCTGAGTGTTTGTGTTAACCCATCCAATAAGTGCGGTCCCCTGAAATGGGAGGGCTGTGTGTGCAAACGGCTAAGATTGTTCATCTGCAGTGGGAGCAAACACTGCTAATTTAAAGCTGAGTAGCCAGTTTCATTTCAAACCCATTTCAAACAAAGTCAACTGGAGAGCAGTGGCAAAACAACAAATCATTTCTCCCACTGTTCAAATACGTAAGGATGCTCTGCATACTATATTTCTGTTCTGCTCCTTGAGCCTCTGAGTTGTCATAGCAACCGATGCCATTAGATTGCTGGGAGCACAAGTCATAAAGTCTAAGTGAATTGACTGCCTCAAAGATGGTGGGTCATGTGACTGCTGTTTACTGCAGACGTGCCACACCCCACAATCAGAGTCACTGACTGATGCTGATGGACTCAGGGGAAATAACTCATTCTTTGTGTTACAACATCGTGCCATGAACACGTGGTCTAACAACAACTGACTGGCTGTGACACAGATCATTTGTTTGCATTTGGAGGGTGAATGATATACCTAAGAAACAAATGTCTCTTGAGTTCTGTACTAAATGTATGTCAGTTATCTTGTTATGGTAAATTCCTCTGCTTGTGCGCCACTGATTTAGATTTCTCTGTCTCAAGATGACTTTGTCACACAAAAAATATTTACAGACTAAGATGAGAGAAGAACCCTCTCATCCATCAACTTCAGGGTAAAAGACAGCATAAATTCATATTTGTCAAAAAACTACAGGAACTTGTGGAACATCTGTTCTCAGAGAGAATTTTGGTACCAGAGTTGTGTTTAGTTTTCTCCTTGGAACAGATGTCAGTGGGTGCAATCAAGTTAATTAGCGCAAGTCCTGTTCTGACGCTACTATATTCACAGTACATTCCAGACTCCTAAACAAACTGCGTGTTGGGCTTTACAGGCCTGTGCTGCAAAATAAAACGACTTAACTTTATAAACCTAGACTAAGACATCTGAAAAAGGACAGAAGGGATCATTTTAGGGACCACAAGTGCTTGACATTTAAGTTAAAAAAAACTCTTGATATTCTTGTTGAAAACACATTCAGAATAGATTTTAGTGAAAGAACTAAAAAGATGTAGAAGGAGCAAATGAAACATCTGGTGTACAAAAAGACAACACATGATTTCTGACCTGGTCCTTTGGCTCCTCCTCGCACAAGGCGCCCCAGGCGAAAGATGATGGCTCGCTCATATTCCTTCACAATCTGTAGACAGAGAAAAAAAACAGACTACTGTCACGCACGAGTCTTCCCTTTCTCTTATTTGACATTTTACAAGCGTAACTAGATACTGCAGTGTGTCTATGGATGCCTTTAAACTAAGTTAATGCAAAACGATGGTTCAACAGCTTCTATAGGTTGTTTTAAAATAAATAGCAGGAACATGGGGAGTGAATCTAGGGGAACACACACTGTAGAATTTCCAAAACACTGACTGCTAAACAGAGTTTGCCTTATTTGTTTAATTATTTCTACTTTAGTAGCCAGCTTTGCGTGTGAAGAGGAAAACAAATACTGGATTTGACCAGCAGCTGACCTTAATGCACATCCATATGGAGAGGGGCAGAGTAACCAGCATCAGAAGAAGAGAGAATCCAACCAGCACCCAGCCACACAAGCCAATGTCCGTGTCAGGATTCTCCAAAGCTGTTGGAAACAAGACAGACACAAGCACTGAAATAAATCCAACTGGTTCGATCATCCATGGGAATTAGAGCTGCACAATGCTGGAAAAAAAACTGACACTGCAATATGAAAAATACAGGAAATCTCATTAGATTACTTGAATAACTCGATTTGGAATGAATTAATAATTTCAGAATGACTGGGGGGATTTTGTGGGAAGTGTATCTGCATAGATAATAAAAAAATAACATTAAAAAGCTAAAAAAAAAACCTTTTACTGTGAAGACATGTTGCGTTTAGTGCTGATTTGAATCGGCAAACAGCCGTTGTCTCATGTAGTGCTCAACCATCCCACAGCACTACTGACAGGGCATTTGTTTTTGGTCAACGCCCTCCAGCTGAAATATTTCTATACACCTCACTAGGGCTGCACCATAGTCAAAATTATAATCACCATGATTCTTATCAATATTTGGATTGCCATTAATGATGAATTTGTATTTGAGTAAACAGAGAACTGCTTTTATTTTGATGTCGAGCCGCAAATGTACAAACCTTTGCATTAAAGTAAAACTTTAAACAAGTTACTTCTTCACCTCAATTTTTTGCATCTTCTCGGGAAAACAACAAAGCATCTCACATGTGGAACATCTGCTTATCAATATAAACAGTACAATTTACTGATGTTTCCTAAACACCTCGTATACCTGCTATGGCACATGCTAGCTGTGCACAAAGAAGCCTCTAATCTCCACTCAGTTCCTGCCGCGCAGCAGGTCAGACGAGTGTGTGACCAAAAAATAGTTTGACAAGACTGAAATAAGGCGCTCTGATGTCGAAAATGTAATACTAGTGAATATCTACATGCAGTGTTTTGCAAGAGTGGAGTTTTTTCATTAGCGGAACACACTTTAATCATGAACTTGATTGTGAATAATAATCCATTAACTGTGCAGCCCTACAACTAATGCTTTTTGTGCAACCAAATCTTCCTTTTTGGATTTTCACTCCTGCTTCTTGCTCATGTTGCTGTGCACATGTGGAGTCTGCATGCAACAAACTCCCTCTCCTGTAAATAAAGTTAAAATAAAACCTGCTTTTAACCAAGATATCTTAAATCAGAGAGCTTGTGTTCTACCAGACGGACGTTGCTGGTAAATTAGTCACAGAAAATGAGGACTGTGAGTTTTCTATTTGTATCAAGCAGCATTAAAAAGTCATAGCATGATGCATTTGAGTTAGTTTGCCTCGCTTAATATCACATACCCTGTGATGTGACCATCATGTCTGAACACATCAAGGATGTATCATTCACCCCAGCTAGTAATGCAATAATACCTACGAGATTCAATAAATTGGCACGCATCTGCTTGAAAAGCAAGTTCTGTCAGAAGCAAAGTATTCTCTCACCAAGAAAAACACACTTCGAACCCAATCATCCAATCATGCATAAGAGCAGCGTTCATGTCAACACAGACGTGGAGTAAATGTGATTGGTTAGTCAGTTTAAAGTTACATCTGCATCCACTTGTCCACACTCGTGCTTTTTGGCATGTGTTAGGCTAAAGCGGGTCAGGCCTGCCATCCGCTCTGGGCTGCAGAGTTCACATGAGGCGAAGCTCAACATGCAACCATTCAATGGCTGAGATCCATACCTTCAATATCAGATGCACCACGTATGCCTGGACCTACAGACAAAGCCAAAACGCCATTGAACAGTGAGCTTACAGTAGTTGGGTATTGACTGAAGGCATGCTTTAAACAATGCACCAAGTTACTCACTTAAATCTTTTATAACAAGTTTCAGTAACTGGATCTGGGCAACAACATCCCAACTCACACAATCAATACTGCTGAAACAGGACTTTAGAAACACACCTCTATCGTGATAAATGGGAACTTTTTGTAGCTTAAGCTGTAGAAAACAAGCTCTTTGTAATTTGGGCTGCAGAATTGGAACCTTCTATTATCTCAGCTTGTAAAAATAAAGTTTCCCACCCACTCAGGATGCTACGTTCCTCAGCTATCTCCACGGAATACGCCTATTTATACACCAAATCCAAAAAAGCTGAGTGGACGCAGATAGAACCGGTGTTGCTGTGCTGCAATCATTAGTTTGGTCAACTTTCTTGTTTACATCAAACCGTTAGCCCCCCGTGTAGCTCGCTAATGTTAGCTTGTGAGGAGGGGGCTAGCTGCCGTTAGCTGTGGGATGGGCGCTAATTAGCCAGCTCGGGAGCTAACGCTAACGTTTTGTTAACATTTCCCCACTTTTCAAAGAATAAAACTATCAACTATGTGATGCTAATCGGACTTGGCAATAGCTTCACTTTGGCCTCTTTTAAAAAAAAACAATTTTAAACCAACCGTAGGACGGCAACATGACGCCCTGCAGCGGCTAAAGCTAACAGAAATAGTAAAACAACCGTCACCTGCTTGACGCTCCCGTCTTTTGGACTCCTTCATTGCGACGTCTTCGTTGTCGGAGTGCATGTTCCCGGTAAAATAAACGGTCTAACGGTGACTGTAGTTGGTGGTGGTGGTGTGTTTACGGTAACGGCTCCGTGAGGCTGCTGCTGCTGCTGCTGCTGTGTTCAGGGTGTGTTTACCCTCAACTCTGACTTGTAGGTGCTGTGACGCAGCTGCTCGTTTCTTTACAGGCATGTACAAGTGGGCGTGGCTCAGCCTGTCAAAAAACACATGTCAAAGGTCTGGACTTGCTGCAAAAACAGGAAAGATGTGCAAACTGTGTGTTTTCCTACTGCAAAATGGCAGGATGCATGTGTCATTTTCAGAAAAAAAACTTAATTGTACATCGAAGCACATAGACATAGATATCCTCTCTCTAAGTGAAATCAAGTTTTTAAGGTAACATGTCCATATGGGTTTTTTGTGCTTAAAGAAACATCACGGGAAAAATCAGCAGTGAGCATTTCTACTTTGAAACTCTGGAGAAATTATGACAGTCTCAAAAACACGGATTAAAACTTCTAAGGTTCATATGTAACAAGCTTAAAGGCCAATTTGTGCTTTCTGTGGAGTAAATTTAGTTATCAATCCAATCCAGACGCAGCCCTAAATTTGTGGTGCCAACAATTTTCTACTGACAGAACGCAGACACAGTGGGAAGGTCTAAATTCTCCAGACATCTTGTGCTATATCTGCTCACTGTGTTCAGTATATAGTCTTTATAGTAAATGGTCTTTATAGAGCAGATAAGAAGTCGACACCACGGCTGAGCATTTCTACCTTTAACCTGCAGTGTAGCAATGACGGCCTCAAAAACATGGATTCAAACTTCTGGGGTTTCATATGTTAACAAATGGAAGGATCCAATCCTGTCAACTTTGTAGGCTCACTGAGATGAGCCAGACCTCAGAGATACGATCACCGACCATCGCCGCGCCATGCATGCCACTTAGATTTCTGTCAAACCTGATCCTGCAAACGTCATGCAACGATAGCATCAAGAAGGCTGCATTTCCAGCCTCAGTTGGTTCAGATGTTGGCCCAACAATATGTAGATCAATAGAAACTTTTCATTTTAGTTACCGTGCAGAGATTTTAATTTTATATGTCGGATTTTGAAGTATTATTCTACATGTATTTTTAATGTAGATCAGTCTGGATATATTCAGATTCCAAATAATCAACCGCATAGAATATGTGGTTCTAGTATATTGTATATTCACATCACACTGATTCAATTTTTGAAACGTCTTTAAGGAATGTGAGGATTGCGAATATAACATCTGTATGTATATTTCAGCCCTGGCAGTCAGTACTGTACTCGTATGAGAGTATTTCTTTCTACTGCAGTTGACTATTTTATCAGTGTTTTAACAGCTGCAGTCATAATAAAACTACTGCAGACTGTGTACAAACTCATACAGGCATCAAAGAACATTTTAATAAATCATGTGTTTCTGTAAGTTTCCGTACAAACTGAAGGCTGCTGAAAACTGTCCATCTGCTGCTAAATTACTACAATATTACACATACTGTTGTGTAGCTCAGAGTCATTTCACAGAGTTTAAACAGAGTCGGTGAGCTGGTGTGCTCCAGTTGCAGCAAGTAGCAGAGGGCTGGGTGGAGAAAGAGGGAGGGACTTCATAGATGTACACTTCATGGAAGTAGGGGTTACATTTAAAGACATTTTAATGCTGCAAAGGTTCGTTTTCATGGAAAAGAAAAAACATCGTTATTGTGAAGTTTTGTGGCACAAAAATGCAAACATGACTTCAAAATGTGTTTAAAAATTGAAAAAGACATCTGGGTGTGACGTTTACGGGTGGTGACAACTGAACAACACCATCTACTGCTTTGGCAAGATGTAGTCGAGTTGACAGCTTTGAAAAGGTGTTGATGACCGAGCTCAGCGGTCGGAGCTTTGGGGAAATCGGTGAGAGCTTATGTGCTCGTGTCTGGACGTAAACAGCGACTGACAATTCAAGCTGCAAATCAGCCAGAGGACACACTGTAGTCTGGAACCCCCCCCCGCGATGCTCTGGGCGGAGGTCAGGGCCGCTGAGGTTGATTTTTAATGGCTTCCCCACATACCAGCGGTGCAGCGGGAGTCAAGCAGTCCGCTCAGTGTGGCAGCTGGCAGCTAAATTAGCCAGCACTTTAAACTATCTAATCTCAGCTGGCTATTTATAGGCGGGCCACAGTGCAGGATTAGTTAACAGCTGAAAGCAGCTTCCATTAATAACCTACAATATGGCAGATTTTCATCAACATGTACTGAGCGACTTTGGTTTTTCATTATAGTGGATATCGAAAGCGAAAAAATGGATCTGAAGCATCATCGTGAACAAAATCGCTCGACATTTTTTTGGAAGTGGTGGTAGAAAATTTCACAGATGTGTGTTGCTGAAATTAATAATGTAAAACATCACATTATTTAAAAAAAAATGAGTCTACAGTGGGTTCACATTTACTTGTGTGATATTAAGATCCTTTAACAACATACAGCATTGTAGCATAGACCTTTTATGTGTTAATTAAACTTGAACTGTTCTATTATTACCGTTTTGTTTAAGTTTATTTTGAAAAACTAACCTACAAAATACGCTCTGTATTTTGTAGGTTAGTTTTTCAAAATAAACTTTCTGCAATTTCTTTTTTTGACTCTTTTGCAAGGTCTTTATGGACATTTTGTTTTGCACTCATTTTACTCAGAGTATGCCTTCAATATTTTCGCTCTTTTGCACTGTATTATCATGACAATGAAGCGTCTAATTCTAATTCTACACAAAAAAAACAACTACAATATACATAATGAAAAGGCCCCTACATTGGATTTTTTTTAAAAACTTGTAGTTACTAGAACATCTTCAAGCAAATTGCAATTATTAGCTTTAAAACCCCATCTACATTAAACTCCAATGAACAGGGCTTCTGGCTCTGGAAGGCTGAATTCAGCGGCACCACTTTAATATTCTTGGTTCCATCGTGCCAAAAAGCAAATAAATAACTGTGGAGTGTAGAGAGAAGGCAGTAGGTGGAAGGCTACACCAACATTTCCAAGCATCTAGAGCAAAGTACAAGAAGACACATGGTCGCAAGACATTTGAGACTTTGGAGAGGAAAATCATAAGAAATGTCCCCAGATCTGTGCAAAGATACCCACAACAGAACTGGTGTTAACGGGACTTCAAGTTTAAAGGAAAGGTGTTGTAAGGGCTCTTCACTGTGGTCATGTCCAAAGAACACTCCTCTGATCACACAGCAGCACATCAAAGCACATGAGCTTTAGAAATCCGTCCTCTGGTCCGATGAAAGAAAACTCGAGGTGTCGGGCTCATGGATGTTTGTCTTATTTGCCCCTTCAGTCCTAAAAACACAGTTCCTCCAGTTAAACGCGGCGGTGGGAGCATAATGCTGTGTGGCTGTTTTGCTGCCTGAGGCACAGGGGACCTCGTTCAGGTGCAGATTACGTTGACATTTGGAAGGATAATGTAAAGACATCTGCTGCCAGTTCGACTTTAGGTTGCTGTTGGGACTGCCGGCAAAACGATAGGCGGCTTTCCACTGCGGGAGCTCAGAGTGCAGGCGCGAGGTGGCACAAACGTTTACAGGGATGGCTTCTGAATCTGCTCTTTCAGACTTTCTGTTTCCATCACAGTGTAGGACCTGATGGCTTCAACCACGCCGTCAACACAGAGGGTAGTGTAGTTGTTTCTAACTCCAGTTCTAGGAATCAGTAGGATATATACTAATGGAGGGTTTGTTATGTTGGCTTATATGGTGAATTTATGTTCTTGATTTCGATGCCTCTTGACGGGGACATCGGAAAGATGGCGCTCATTGTTCTCTCTGAATTCAACCAATCAGCGTGTTTTGTTTTGTTCAGGGTTTCCTAGAAGTACAGACCCTGGAGCAGATACTTCTTTCTGCAACAATAAAGGCTTTCAAAGAGGTTCTTCAGGGGAGCACAAGGGTAGGGCTTCCTTAAAACAGATCACAAATTCCTGCAGTGGAAAACAGCGTAAAGATCCAATGCATATATCTAAGTTGATCCAAAACTTTTTGAAGGACAACGAAATCAAAGTCCTGAAGTGTCTGTCTTAAAACCCAGTCATTCTTATTGAGAATCTATAACTGAAAGTCAAGGTTTAGGTTGATGCTCTAAATCTGGATGAGCTGGAACAATTAGCCGATGAAGAACAGTAGGAAGGTTATACCTTTGACATTGAATTGTTGAAGGGTTGACAGTTTTGTCTTTGTCATTTGTTTATTTTTTGTTTCACCCCAAACATAAGTAAAGTATCTTCATCAAATTTCATCCGGATTCTGTGTTTGGCAGTAATTATACTATAAACACTTCATGTGCAGGTCATTTCCTCAGAAAACTTTTTGTTTGATTTCATACAGGAATAAATAATTGTGGCCCCAACTTAATAAGAACCGATGCAACATATGTGTGTAGATGCATGCCAGCTCAGAGGGCGCCTTAGGTTTCACTGTTTGCTTGTTTTTGAGCCAGTTGAGTTGGTGTGGGGCGACCTGATACCCGAGGAGTTTTGGGCTCATAAAACATCGGTGCAAATGGACCAGCGGTGCGTCCATTTCCAGCTGCTCTGACTTTTACTGCATACCATTCCTCTGCTCTCCTTTGCCACATTTTCGCTCTCTCCGCAACCTAACCATGTCACTGCAGCAAAAATTCCAAAAGCATTATATTTACTATGAGTTTTTCTTTCTTTTTTGAACCTTTTTGGGTTATTTTAAAGTCAGCAAGTCACAGTAAACAAGCATAGTTTCGTGAAAATACAGTTATAGTGACAATTGGTTATGGTAGTCTTGACCTGGGAGGCTCAACCCAGTCAAGCTGCCTGTGAGGCAAAATTCAGGGCACATTTCCTCTTGGTACACAGCAGCCATAGTCTATGTTTGTGATTTCCCTTTTCAGTTAATCCTAAAATTGGTACTTTGGTTCACATTCTTTCTTTTCTTATGTTTACTTATAGTTTCCCTGCAGCTGAAACAGACATTTATGCATTAGTGACATGCAGGACGACCTGTCCAGGGTATCCCCTGCCTTCGCCCTAAGTCGGCTGGGATAGGCTCCAGCCCCCCTGTGACCCTAGTGAGGATTAAGCGGT